TCCCTTCACTATTTTCCACAGCTACAAAATACTCACTTTGTGAACACACCACAGTTTGGTCACCGTCTCACACTGACAGACACTTGGTTTGTTTTCAGTCTTTGGCATTACAAAGACTGCTGCAATAAATAATTTTCCAGAATGTCTTGCTGTCTTTTTTATCATTGGATCTGTGTGATGAATTCCTAGAAATGGAATTACTGAATCAAAAGGTAAATGGATTTAATTTGGCTTAATATTGCCAAATTGCCCTCCACAGGGCTTTGCATTACCAGAAAATGTATGAGTGCTGTTTACCAACTAGCCTCACTAACAGGGCATGCTGTCAAATTTTTGGAATTTTTCCTAATCTCAAATGGTAAGAAATGGCATCTCAATGTAATTCCCTCATTATGATGAGCAATTCTGAACATTTTTTTCATGTTTAAAGGATTTTCATTTAAATTTTGTGAATTTTTAAAAACATCTCTTGCCGTGGCCAGTGTGGCTCAGTGGAGTGAGCGCTGGCCTGCTAACCAAAGGGTCACTGGTTTGATTCCCAGTCAGGGCACATGCCTGGGTTGCAGGCCAGGACCCCAATAGGGGGCGAGCAAGAGGCAACCACACATTGATGTGTCTCTCCCTCTTTCACCTTCCCTTCTCTAAAAATAAATAAAATCTTAAAAAAAATCTCTTGGATAGTTTTCTCTAATTGTTCACTTTTTTCTCAATTTAGAAGCTTTTTTAATATTAGTGATCTCAATCTTTTGTGTTTGATATGAATTGAAGATACTTTTCCCACATTTCTCCTTTGTCTTTTCAATATCCTTAGTGTTTTTCCCATGCATGCTCCATGTTGTTTGGGTCAAATGGAGTGAAATTGACCAGTCTTATATTTCAGTTTCTGGGTTTTGATTCATATTTTTGGAAACTTTCTCCACTTCTAGAATTATACAGAAATTCGATGCTATGAATTCTAAAGCTATGTCCAAGTTAGTGAAGCTATTTATTTTTTTCAAAAATTTTCCAGCTTTATTCAGGTGATTGACCAAAATCATATACATTTTGGTTGCACGATTTTTTAAAAGGTGTACAACATGATTTAATATATGTATATATTATAAAATGATTATTACAGTCAAGTAATAAACACACCCATCACCTCACAGAGTTACCAGTTACCACTGTCCACATGTCTGGGTAAGATCTGTTCTCACAGAACGCTTTGAGCACACAGTGCAGAGTAAAGCCCCACTCACCCCAGCCCTGAAAGATGAGGCTATTGCTCACTTAAAGGAAGCCTTCCTCTGCCCTGCTGGTTCTGGCTCATTGGTTACCTTTGAGCTTGCATTTGTATTTCCTTGCACCAACTTCTAAAATATATCTTGAACCCCTAATTTTTAAGATGATAATCATAACAGTCATAGTGCTTACTATGGCCAGGCATTGTTCTAAGCATTTCACATGTATTAACTCATTCACTATGCCCCATGAACTTATAAAATAAGTACCATTAATATCTCCATTTAAAACCAACAGAGGGATGACTCTTGCCCACGGAGTGCCAGGAGGCAGCAGGATTCAGATCCCAGCTTACCGGGCTCCCGAGCCTGCACTCTTGACCATTGCACAGTTAGTGTTAACCCCTCACCCCCACTCTTTCCAGCCACTTCTGCCTTCTGCTCTTAGCTCCATCTAGATCATCTTATACACACTCTCATTGTTCAAGCTTAGCCCTTAGCTGAAAACAAAGAGCCTTTCCATCATATTAGGGCTGCCTATACATTTTCCACTGCCCCGCGGGACAGAGATCCTATCCCTCTCCTTTCCTCTGGTGCCATCACCACCCTGATGATTCAAAGCATTATCAGATATCCTTTTCCTCACTTCCTCATTGCTTGAAATCATATTTGCTTCAAAAGTTTTGCATACAGACTTTTATTTGAAAGGGTATATAACTACCTTACTTTTTCTTCTATGGCACACCTTCAATTTTCTTGCTCACAGGCCTTTCTGCCCTGTCCCCAGAGACCTCTCCTGGGAGCACCCCTTCTCTCACACAGGTCTGCTGGGCCGCTCACACTGGCAGCCCAGCTGTTATCTGAGGTTCCCCTGGCACTGCTCTGCCCGATGGGCAGATTCACCCAGTCCTGACTGCTCAAGCTCACTTCATTCTGAGTAGCACCCCCAGTAATACCACAGAAACATATTCAAAGTCCTTGAAATGTCTAAACATCTTTTTTCTTTCACACTTAATTAAATTTGGCTGGGTCCAGAATTTGTGGCTGAAATCAAGTTTCTTTCAAAGCTTTAAATGTCCCAGTGAATTATCTTTCTGCATTCAGACTGCTGTGAAACCTGACACCACACTGATTACTATTTCCTGGTAAGAAAAGTCCACTTTTCTCCCTATTCTTACTGTTCAATTCCTTTCTTCAGTTCAGAGAAATCCTCTTGTTTTATTTTGACATCTTCCATGCTACTTTCTTGTCCTGAGATCCCCACGAAGACTCCTAGCCTGGTCTTCCATCTCTTCCCTGGTCTGTCTCCCTTTTGCTTTACCTCCCTGGAGACATTCCTTAATTTCATTCTCTAGTCCAAGTACCACATTTTATTTTTGCAAGTGCTTTTTCTCTGCTCCTTTTTCATGGCATACCCTTCTTTTATGCTTTCTTAAATTTGAGTAGATCAGAACATTTATTTATTTTTAATAACATTTCCTTCCATTCTCTGAATAGTATTTCTCTCTGAGGTCAGTTTTTCAACTCTTTAATATTGGTCTTCCATGTTCTTGATTCTACTTAGTTGTCTGACTCTTACCTAAGGAAAGACTGGAAATGGGTGTGGGTTTCCTCTGCTCTCCAGTTCAGTCCCTCTCCTGCGTGGCAACTCTACTAGGAGGAGCTCTGTGTGGGACAGGAGAATGGGACTGCCAAGGGCAGGCTGTGCTTTAGGGCAGGAGCTGGCAGTTGAGATTGTGGAGTTTTCCAAATGCCAGATGAAGGCTTCAACCTAGATGGGAACATCTGTTCTGAGCTTCAGGGTGGGAGAGGGGGTGGGGTGCCAACTGGTGCAAACTGTTTCACACACAGGACTTCAATTAAGCTGTTTTTCACCACCACTTCTCACTCTCACCACCCACTGTACCTGCCAATACTGGGCCCAGTCTCTTGGGATTCCAACAGACAGGCTGGCTCCCAGCGCCTCTCTAGCTCCCTCCTAGCACATTCTGGGCTGTAAATCTTTCCACCTTTTATCTGGCAACATGCTCCCATCTGCTTTGTCTTCCAGAAATTCATTGAAGGCTGTCATCTGTTGCTTAATACCCCTCTTCATTCCTTCCTTTTCTCACTGCTACTCTAAGCCTATCCCTGGTCTTACATCCATATTTTGATGCAGTGGGGTCCTGGGAGGGGTTGGAGCAGAACTTACTGCTCAAATCTTCTTGAACTTTCTGGCTACTGATTTTATGTGAAGAAGCGGGTGTATGTTCTTTGTGTTTTATAAAGAGCATGAGGGAAACCAATTTCTAATGCAATAATTTAAGTTGAATGTATATTTCTGAACTTATGTGTATTTTTTTCAGCAAAGGGATCTTTTAAAGAACTCCAACACCTAAAAAAGTGACTGCACCAGACACTCAGATTCTTCTGGTTTTGCTGACGTGGGGGTGACTGTGCCAAGATGGCAGCAGTTTTTGTTTCGTGATATATAAACAAGTTTACTGACTGTTTTGGGTAGGTGTGTGTTGGGGTTAAAATATTAGTTTTGATAATGTTGATTTTTCCAGGCATGTTTGTAGGATGGTTTAAGAAGAGATGTCTAGTAGGCAGCTAAACCTACTGCTCACAGATCAGAAAGATCTGGGAGTCATCAACCATGCTGCACATGAAATCAACCAGAAAACACACAATTTGGAAAGGCAAAGAGTAGAACTCCGGGTAATTATAACACAAACATCTAAGCATGGGTGGAAGGAAATAAACCTTTAACAGAGGTTGTAGAAGAGTGTTCCCAGTGGTGGTGTATGTTGCCGAGATGATGAGTGAGAACGAGACCTAAACAAGGCCCTGGATATGGTCATTAAGTTACTGCATTCCTTGGAAAAATAATTAAAGTGAAGTGGCGAAGAGCGAGACCACACGTCAGCTACCATGTGAAGCACCTGTGTGTCCCTCCAGCAGCCGTGTTAGATGGGAGAGGGGTTGTGGTTAGACTAGTCCAGAGTGGAAGCAGAATGGAAGGGATGAAGAGCTGAAATTAATGAGGGTAGCTGACAACAGCTCACGTGGTTTAGGATAAACAAGGAAACACGGGAAATTATGAGATATCCGAAAGCTGGAGAGTAAACAGAGGGCCAACAGGTTATTAGCACCAGCAGGACACAAGTAAGGGGGTGCAAGGGCTGATGGGCAGAAGGCTGGGGTTGGAGGGTGGGACCTACAAAGGTACACTAGTAAAAGTGGGAAGGGCTTGGGTATTACAAGTGGCAGGCTATCACAGAGGAATGTCCAGTTCAGGGGAGGAGGGTCCGGCTGGGGAGGACCAGTAACTGGGTTAAGGTGCAAGGATTGGTTACCCATAAAGGGACAAAGTCATTAGAGCTGGAACAGGCCTTGACACACTGACTGAGAGGGGTTTCTAAATTCTTTCTTAAACACAGGGAAGAGATCCAGCTATTGGCAGAAACAAGGTCAAACGAGTGGCAGATGGTGCACTCATCCCTGTCTAGAAAATGAGAAGATTTCCCAAGCAGGGTGCAGTTTGATTCAATTCAGAGATAAGAACTGATTTAACATCTGAGTACTGATGATTTACTGTACTGGATATGCCTAACACCATAAAAGAAGATGCAAAAATGGCCCTTGAGTATATAATCTCTTATGGCCCTTTCTTTTCTATGGTAAGATAATTGTAATATTCTTGGTCTAATGGTAACAAAAAAATTGTTTCCATGTTTCCCTAACCATACAACAAAGAAATGCACCACTTCTGTAATACAGCTTTAGACACACACTCACCGGATTCTTTTTTGGAGGTACTCTGTGTGGGCGCTTGCTTTCTTGAGTTTTCCTCCTTTTAATTTTCTTCTCTTTGCAAGGCTGAGCTTCTGTGTTAAGCAAGCTGCAAACACTCTCTTCTGCAAAACTGATCAATTGCTATAAAGAAAATTTAAAGTAGGAATACCATACAATGCAAGCAGTTACATTTTAATGTATGTTCTCTCACCTTTATTTTCTTTCCCATGTTACTTCTACCATTCTTATAGGCCATTCCCTCTAAATGTACAAATTCCATTAGATGTATTTTAACTAATTTAACTCAAATGGGAGAAATAGTAATTATTAATCTCTGATCTATCAAGCATGGACCCAGAAGCATATACACTCTGCCCAATTATTTGAGAAAGAAAAAACTCCAACTTAAGAATTAGTTGATTAATTCATTCATAAAAATATTTATTCAGCATCTACGAGTTAGTGCCTAACTGCTGCTGAGCTATAGGGAAAAAAAATCATCAACTGTTAGATTATCTGACTTTGAATTCTGGGTTTACCATCCAACAATATCAGCTAAAAACCTGTAATAGTATACGCATATGTTTACACACTATAATGTTGTAAGCAAAATTCCAATTTTATCAAACTTAATAAAATAGCAAAACGTATGCATTCAATGAAAATTAGGTTCATACTGAAAATAGCTGAAATCCTATGTTAAAAACAACACAAAATATAGTTTTTAAAAATATCATATTTATGTCATTTTCTGACTGTGCTAATTACATGCTACTCTTCCCCACTTTGTACTTCAACAAAATTCATAAAGCCACACAGATCTCCAACGAGCTTTTCAAACAGACTGTCTTCCACATTAACACAAACTTGGAAGCTTCTTGTTTTATTGGCTTTTTCTTCTAACAAAATTAAATAAAACCAAAGCAGGAAAATGTCATTACCCTGGGTTATATGATAGGTAGGATAAGGCATTAGCTCTTAGTAACACTGCCCAAGCCAAGATTTTAGCCATAATCATCTGAGCGTGAAAAACAAAGAAATCTACTGCAAAGATTAATAAATGCATTGTGTCAAATGCGAACACTTACACTTCTTCTGTTAGAGGACCGTGTTCTTCTACCATCTGTACAGGAAGGTATCTTCCTGTGGTTATTTGAAGAGCTGAAGGTATCAGTGCCTGAAGAGCAAGAGAGAGCAAAATGGGGGTAGCTAACAAAAAGCTGTAAGATCTGCCATCTTTCATATTCACCTGACTATTCTGAATACCCACCTTTGCTCTTACTACCACATTATATCTACGCATAATTACCATGAGGAATACAGTTTGAGATTCAAAAATATTAAAACCTTAAGTTGACTTACATACCAGAAACTTCTGCCACTTTCCATGGAGATTGTATAACATGTTATCTTGCTAAGACAACAGATTAAATCACATAATAAATACCTGCATTTTACTCATTTCTGTTTATTTCAAGCTACATTTTAAAAATGAAATTGCAATAAAAGACTTTAAAATGATCATGAAAATACTTTATTTTACAAAGTTCAGGAAAATTTTACTTTGACTACTTTTCATGGTATAAAGGAAAGGCAGTACAATGTGTTCAAGAGCATACACTCTGGAACATGACAGACGAATGCTTCCGATTTGGCTCTACTTTACCAGTGCCTGTCCTGGATTCTGTGCTAATGACCTCAGGCTGTGTCTGTCCTACAGCCAACAAAAAGGCATTCAAGGATTTCAACTGGGAAAAGACAAGAATAATGGCTCCCATCCTAAGAGACTGTCCCATGACAGGCTTATCAGCCAAGTTCTGGTTTCTCGGGAAAGTACAGCAATGTTTGTTGCCTTGTCATGATCATATAAAAGCCAGAGACCTTGGAAAGTACATTCATGCATTAATGTCGATGAACAGTTTTGGATATTTAAGAACAATCCTTGCAATCCGTATCACTTCAACTGCGCTAACTGGGAAAAGGAGCTTCCATCTAAGGAAGTTAAATGTGGGCAACTATGAAGAGCAGGACCTGAAATGGATGGATAAGAGACTTACAAGCTTTTCTATACTGTGTGGTTTATTAACCAAGTATGCACTGTTGTAATAAAATTTCAATAAGAAAATAAAGGCTGGGTGGAGGAGGGCAGAGGGGGAAAATTTGGGAACACTGTAATAGAAAAACAATAAAATATTTTTTAAAAGGAAATTAAGTTTCATAGACACAGATAATTGCAAATGACATTTAAGATTATAAAAGAAACAAAAGCTACTACCTGAAAGAGTCTCAGAGACTGAAGACTTACTAAGAGGGCTCACAACAGCAAACGAAACCTGAAGAGGTTCTATGTTTTCCTAAACAAAAAAAAAGGAGAAATTAGACATCCTTAAGTTCAGTGGACATGTAAATAATGTGCTCAAAAAAAAATAATATGGATTTATTTTTGTAGGTAAAATTGTAATAAGCATAAGGATGGGGAAGCAATAAAAAATTGAAAAGGAAAATGTCAAAGCAAAACAGGAGATACTGGATATAAAAATAAAATAGATTTTCTAATATTTACCAATCACCTTGAATAAAACCATGTTTACTAACTACAATCCACCAAAACAAACAAAAACTTTAAGTGAAGGTAGACATAATGATTCACTATGAGTTACTTTTTGGTTTATTTAAAATCTCAGGTCTTAATTCCTATAAAAGTAAGACAATCCATTAATAAACACAACCTAACATTACAAATTATTCAGGGGAACTTCAGGGTAAAATGAAAATATAAACACAGATATCAGATCTTTTCTTTCCCATGTATTGCCATTATGATGGCAACTTTGATTTTTCATAGATAAAATCTGTCAGGTTGAAGAAAATTTATTTTTTCAGGTTTCCTCAGAGTTTTTATCAGAAATCAACCCTGGATTTTGTCAAATGTTTCTTCTCCATCTACTGAGAGGAACACATGGTTTCTCAGTCTTAGTCTGTTAAAATGGTGAATTATACAAATTGTTTTTAAAATATTAAACCATCTTTGCATCTCTGGGTTAAATCTCATTTGGTCATGATGTACATTCTTGTGTTTATGAGGGTACTGGACTGCAGCGTTTGTACAACACCTGTCTGATTATGTGTCCCATAATGCTGACACTGACAACTGGGGAGTATTTCCACCTCCTCAATTTGTTTGGAAGCATGTATGTAGAATCAGTATAATAGCTTTCTTAAATGTTTGGTAGAATTCATTAGTAAAATCATCTGGACGTGCAGGGTTTTTTGTGAGAAGGTTTAACTGAAACTTAAATTTCTTCAGTTGAAATAGAGCTAATGAGGTCATTTATTTCTTCTTGAATGAAAATGGTGGTTTGGGTCTTTCAAGAAATGTGTCTAGTTTCTCTAAGTTGCTCAAATTACTGACAAAAAGTTGTAAATAATATTCCCTTATTATCCTTTTACTGTGTTAGCATACATAGTTACCTCCCACATTCCTTACTGGTGAGTCGAGTAAGTCTCCTTTTTTCCTGAGTAGTCTGATCAGAAGTTTACTAACCTTATTTCTTTAAAGCACAATCTTTTGATTTCAATAATTTTCTCTTTTTTGAAACTTCCAATTCCAGTGATTTCTGCATTTATATTATTTCCTCTGCTTACTTTGCTTTAACTTTTCTTTTTCTTAAAGTGGAAGCTGAGATTAATTTGAGATATCTCTTGTTTTGAAATCAGGCTTTAAGTTTTAAAAATTTCCCTGTAAGCACTGCTTTAGCTGCGTTCCGTACATCTGTGCTGTCCTTTGAAAGTGGTTTATGGCTTACAGTATGCATCTTTAACTTACACAACTTTGTGTATAGCCTAAGAACTCCCAGCCTTTATGCCATGGTATTTTTATTGTATAATTTATGTACACATGTTACAAACCAAATTAACACTTTGTTGTTACTCTTATTTTGAATATTTTTCATGGAGATTAAGAAGAGGAAACAGTCTGTCACATTTGCCCAAATGTTTAGCATTTATAGTGCTTTTCACACCTATGTTACATGCAGATTTCCAGCTGGAACTACTTTCCCTTTGACTAAAAAACTTCGTTTAACATTTCTTCCAGTGCTAACCTGCTATAGTGATTAATTCTTCTAGCTTTCACAAGTCTGGAAAAGCCTTTCATTCACTTCTGTTTTGATGAAAGTTTCACTAGACACAAAATTCTAGGTTGCCAGGATGTTTTTTCCCCTAAGTATACTGTTAGAAGCTGTTGCTGCACTGTCTTCAGTTTGTTCCTCTTTATGTCTTGTGTCTGCTTTTCCTAACAATTTCAGGCCACTTATAGTGGTTTTAAGCAATGATGTGTCTTAGTGCACTCCATGTTTCACATGCTGCAAACCTGTACTTTAGAATCTATGGGGTTATAATTTTATAACATTGGGAAATATTTCAGCCATTATTTTTCAAATTTTTCTGTTCCTTCGGGTCTCTCATCCCCTTTGGGATCTCTAATTACACGTTATGTTACCTGAAGTTGTCCAAGCTCGCCAACTGTCTACCTTGTTCAGTCTCTTTTTCTGTTTCACTGAGAGTAATTTCTATTGCTACATCAAGTTCATGAACCTTTTCTCCCTATTATGGGTAGCTTTTCCTACACATCTACTAGTGTTTAATCACATCAGAGATTTTGAATCTAATGTCATTTTGTTATGTTATTATTGAGCTTTGTTATTCAATGCAGTTAAGTACCTGAATACAAGCTGGGTCCTTTCACAGCTCACTTTTAAGTTCCACTAGATTTTTAGTCTCACTCTGCTCTACTAATGAGCAACTCTATTCAATAGCCAACAACCTCTGGAAGAGGTGTTTCAAGCCAGGCTGGTGGGAACACTGTTCCTGCCCCAGTATGTGTGAGCTCCAGGCATTGTTCCCTCTGCTCCTTTTGGGTTGTCTCACCTGCCCTCAAGCAGTTTAGTCACAAGCATTTGTTGACCAGCCCTCAAAACAAAGGACTTAAGTGGAACCCTTTGCCAATCCCCAGAGCTCTCTGCGAAGCTCTCTCCTCTCCAGTACTTTGCCCTGTGACCTCCAGCCTCCTCTGCTTTCCCAGATCCCAACTCCATGCTCCCAGCTAACAAGACTGCCAGGCTTCACTCAGACAAACCTTCCCCGTGCCGAAGCCTCATAATGCAGCCCAGGCAGTGGGTCAGGCCTCTCACAGGCTCACCTTCTTGGTATCTCTCCTCTCAGGAATCACCATGTTGTGCCGCCTGATGTTAAATATCCGAGGACTACTACCTCATGTATTGTCTCTAGTTTTTCACTTGTTTCCAACAAGAGCACAATTAGGTTCCTCTTACTTCATCCCAGCCAAAAGCAAATTATTCTATTTCAAAGTGAAACAGCCAGAGAGAGAATAAATGATGTTCTCAATATAAAAGTAGGTAAGGAAGAATAGACAGTTCTCAAGACCAGAAATTCAAATGGCCTATAAACATGTGAAAAATGTTCAAATTTTACTAATAACTAAAAATTTTCAAGTCATCTTTTGTTCCTGTTAAGCTGTTTTCTTTTTTAAATATATTTTGGATTATGCTATTACAGTTGTTCCATTCCCTCCTTCACTCCCCTCCACCCTGCACACCCTCTCCCACCCACATCTCCTCCTTTAGTTCATGTCCATGTGTCGTAAGTTCTTTAGCTTCTACATTTCCCATACTATTCTTGCCCTCCCCCTATTTTCTCCCTACCATCTATGCTGCTTATTCTCTGTACCTTTTCCCCCTCTCTCCTCCTCCCACCCCCCTGTTGCTAACCCTCCATGTGGTCTCCATTTCTGTGGTTCTGCTCCTGTTCCAGTTGATTGCTTAGTTTGTTTTTGGTTTTGTTTTAGGTGTGGCTGTTAATAATTGTGAGTTTGCTGTCATTTTACTGTACATGTTTTTTTTTATCTTCTTTTTTCTTAGGTAAGTCCCTTTAACATTTCATAAAATAAGGGGTTGGTGATGATGAACTCTTTTAACTTGATCTTATCTGAGAAGCACTTTATCTGCCCTTCCATTCTAAATGAAAGCTTTGCTGGATAGAGCAATCTTGGATATAGGTCCTTGTCTTTCATGACTTGGAATACTTCTTTCCAGCCCCTTCTTGCCTGCAAGGTCTCTTTTGAGAAATCAGCTGACAGTCTGATGGGAACTCCTTTGTAGGTTACTGTCTCCTTATCTCCTGCTCCTTCTAACATTCTCTCCTTCATTTTTACCTTGGGTAATGTAATGATTGTCAGGATGGGCTGAGTAGGACAAAATGGCACCTGGACTACAATCAATCATGGCGGCTGAACTATAACCCGGAAGAGATGGCTGAGGTAAAACCCGGATGCTACAGGTACCACCAATGATATGTTGCTGCTTTGTTCACAAGGAACCAATCCCCAGCTCCCACAGACAGCCAACCCAGAATAAAACCCCACCATTTTTCCTGCTCGGGGCGAATTCTCTGACCCCTTTTCTCTGGATCAGAGAACTTTGCCTGGGAGCACAAACCCCCAAAATAAAGCTCTATTCTGACTAATTGGCATTTATTCCTCAGCGGGGTCTAAGAAACCTTACAATGATGATGTGCCTTGGTGAGTTCCTTCTTGGGTCCAACTTCTTTGGGACTCTCTGAGTTTCCTGGACTTCCTGGAAGTCTATCTCCTTTGCCAGATTGGGGAAGTTCTCCTTCATTATTTGTTCAAATAACTTTTCCACTTGTTGCTCTTCCTCTTTTCCCTCTGGCACTCCTATAATTCGGATGTTTGAACGCTTCAAGATGTCCTGGAGGTTCCTAAGCCTCTCCTCATTTTTTTGAATTCTTATTCGTTCATTCTTTTTCGATTGTATGTTTCCTTCTCCCTTCTGGTCCACTCCATTGATGTGAGACCCAGCTTTCATTCCATCTCTATTGGTTCCCTGTGCATTTTCTTCATTTCACTTATTATAGCATTCATTTTTTCATCTAATTTGCGACCAAAATCAACCAAGTCCGTGAGCATCTTGATCATCAGTGCTTTGAAGTGTGCATCTGATAGGTTGGCTGTCTCGGTCGCTTAAAAGTCCCAGTTGAGGGGCGTTCAATTCTGTTTGAGCCATCTTTTTTTTTTCCTTTGGTCTGGCTGCCCCTGTTATGTATGAGGGGCGGGGCCCTAGGTGTTCACCAGGGCGGGGCACCCCCAGTCGCTGGGTTGTGATGCTCTATGTGGGGGTGGGGTCTGAGAGAGAACAATGGCACTTGCTCTGCTCTCCGTGGGACCTCAGTCCCTTCCGCTGCTTACCCTGAGCAAATTGGGCCCCTCTGGTGCCAATTCCCGTGTGGGTGGGTTTGTGCACCCTGTGGGACTTTCCAACCACCTCTCCTGTGAGGCTGGGAGCCTCTCCCTGCACCTCAACTCCCACAGGTGTTTTCAATCAGTGCCCCCAGGCTCTATTTCCCAGCCCTGTGATCCTGGGTTGCACGCAGTGCCTTGCTTCACAATCACTGCCTCGCTGGGTCTGCTGGTTGCCACCCCTTGGCCAGGGCCTGCCAGCTGCTGCTTGCACACTCAGGGTCCACCTGTTGCGGTCTTGCGTTCCTTGGATTCTTTATGCACCTGGTCCCAACACTCTCTGCTCCCCACGTCTCAACCCACATCCCACTGCCCGACTCTGCCTCTCCTACTGGTCTAGATGAACGTGTCTATTTTAACTTCTTGGTTGTTCAACTTCCTTATAGTTCAATTTTCTGTCAGTTCTGGTTATTACTCAGTTTCTAAATTGTTGTCCCTATCTTGGTTGTGCAAGGAGGCACAGTGTGTCTACCTATGCCTCCATCTTAGCCAAAAGTCCTATTAAGCTATTTTTAGTAAGTATGGTTAATACACAGGATTTACAAAGTTGTAGTAAAATAAAACCATTTATATTGCAGTGAGTTCAAATTTGTACATATTTTTTGGAGGAAATTTACCAATATTCATCAAAAAGTTTGTATTCTTTAATCTACTAATTCCACCTGTAAAAATTGACCTCACTGGAAAACCAGTTTATAGTATATCGATTCTAAGTCTGTTGCTTTTTCGTATTTTTTTTAACACCTCTAAAATCTGCATATAGTAGTCCCTCTTGTTCATGGGGGGGATAATGTTAACGCTCTTTCCACTTAGAAACTCCACTGGATGCCTGAAACCATGGACAATACCAAAACATAGGTATTACGTTAAAGTTTAACTTATAAAATAGGCACAGCAAGAGATTAACAATAATTAACAATGAAACAGAACAATCATAATCAGACAATGTAATAAAAGTTATGTAAATGTGGTCTTTCGAAATATCTTACTGTATTGTACACCCCCCTTTTCTTGTGACGACGTGAAATGACAGAATGCCTTGAGATAAGATAAAGGGAGGCACTTCAGCATGGCATGCGATTTAAAACCTATGGATTGTTTATTTCTGGGGTTTTCCACTTAATATTTTCAGAATGTAGTTGTCTGTGGGTAACTGAAACCGTGGATAAGGGTGGAGTATTGCACATCTCACAGTTCATGGTGTGTCACAGTTTAACTTTCATATTGTTTTTAATAGGAGAAACATGGTAATAACCTACCAAGAAAAATGCACTGATTTATATGCACCGTGACATATCATTTAGTCTATTTCATAATTTCAAAGCATAATTACTGCTCATGCAAAATAAGTGAGGTCTGATTAATATATACACTACTTTGTTCCAAATTTTTTACACTTACAAGATCTTCCCCCTTGTCATCAAAATTAGGCTGAGGCAACTGCTCGGGAACTGGTGACTGCTCAAGCAGCACAGGACTGATCCTACTTAAGTCCTCTCTACGGACAGGCGTCCCTCCTTTTCGCAGTGGGGTGTTTGCTGGCAGAGACTCATCGAACACTTCAGGGCTCAGGTCCTCTCCAAAGGTCACTCTCTTCCTCTTCCTCATATTTACAAAGGCTGGCACTTTGTAATGTTCTTGATCTTCTACAGAAAACAAATAGGAATATATTAAAAAATTAAGCTCAATTTTTTTATAAGGCACATCCCAGAATCTTTTAACATGATTAGATTCCATTATTTGTATGAAAATTTGTAGAAAAATTCAAAATGAAAAAGATAAGCAGTATTTCTAATTAAAATACAGTAAGAGATTTTAAAGTAAACTTCACATGAGTATCTTAGAAGTTTACAAAATTGGAATATCGAGCTCACCATCAAGCGAAAATGGATAGATAAAATGGATAGACCAATCCTGAGATGCTCTACACAGAGTTCATTTCTCCCAGTTGTCATATCAAGCCATTAGCAGGTTACTAAAGATACCATACACTAGCTCCAATTTTTTTATAACAAGACAATGAAATCCTTTCGCTTCAAAATAAATATGAATTTCTTACCTGCTTTTTGCTCTCTGCCACCGTTTGCAGGATGTGAGGGGAAGCTTGGATGAGCCCCAGGACCATAGAGGGTGTCACAGTGCTCCTGCACAAAATGGACATCAGTGGATGTGACACCCTTGACATGTACACACAGCCATTAACAATAGCAACTTGGAATTTTTTGCTGCCAGAAGTAGAGACTATAATATTGCAGAATATGTCCATTGGTTTTCTGGCTAAACTACCATGATATTAGCCACAAAATCTAGGTTCCCTAGATATCACTTTAATACATAGTATTTTAAGCCAAAATCAAAGAACAGAAATCCATAATGGGGGCTAAATTCATTCTCTCATTCTTGATCTGGCAAGCAAAGTTGAGGAAACTGAGTGGATGAGGAAGACTGCATAAATGGGCGGAGATATGTAAGAGGTGCACTAAAACAAGCGAAGAACAAATAGGTAAATGGTGTAATAGGGTGTCCTGTCTTATAAACATAGAACCACACCTTTTATAAGTGCGTGATCTCCTGTCTATATCAGTATATTCTTGAGTTAGAAATAAGGAATGAGGGCAGTGCTGAGTCCCTCTGTGCTCTTTAGAAGGACAAACACAGCAGGCATGTTGGTGAGGGTGGGACAGTGAGAATCTCAAGAACAAGACGGGGCAAGTCTACACACAGGGCCACTGGAGCAGAACAGGAAGACAGGGCCAGGGCTGGCACCAGGCCACCTGCTCATCCAGCCCCCCCAAGCCCTGACCAGCCTGCTCCCTGGGACTCCTCATTCCCTCCAGTCCACCCATTGAGGGCAGTGCCATCGCTGAGATTCTTTTGCCCCAAGCAAACCTCTCTGACCAACTATATCCTGAGTCAGTTTCATTTTCCTGACCAGGAAAATGTCCCAATCAGTACTTGTGAATTAAGTGAACTTATAAAACAAAGTTCATGTTAATTTTTAGACTTATTTTTAATTGAAACAACCATGAGAATTAGCAGAAAACTTCAACTCTTAACACCTTCAAACTTCGAACAGCTTAGGGAAAAGGTCATCAGTTGTACAAGTCTTGGCATGATCTTTACTATGGAACAGTGTTCACCAATAAAAGTCACACAAACCATTAGGGTACGAAGTATCTTTGAAGAGAAGATAAAACAAATGGAAGGTATGAATAAGTCATACTGTATAGAGACCCAAATCAGCTCTTAACCAGGGAAATTGTTAAAATATTTAAAATAATAACTGAACAACTACCCATATGGACAGAAGGTAACCTAGTTTGTTTTAGCTTTAGAAACAGATCTGTAGGCCTAGCTGGATGTTAAAATGCACACAAATAGGGAAAAAATGTACTTCTCGTTTGCCAGGCACTGGTGCTAATTTCACATTATTATCCCACTTAGTGCTCAAATTATCCTGTAGGGTAGTTACTAATACTATCCTTATGTAGATAAAGAACCAGGGTACAAAAAGGTTAATTAATTTGCCCAGCTTGTAAACCTCAGAGTGAGGACTTATACCAGGCACCTTGACTCCAGAGCCTCTCGGCCAACCACAGCATCTATCGTCCATCATGGACTTTAACATCAGATTTGTTTGGGGAGTTCATTCAACCACCTCCAACCTAAGTGTCTGTAAAGTGGGGCCAATGCCTTTCTTGGAGATGATGGCTGTATGTACATGATAAATGCCAGACGTCCATAGGAAGTACTGAGGGAATGCCAGTTGGTTCCCACCAACCTCTTCTTCCCTCCTGCTGACCAAGCCCGGAGGAAAGTGAATGCCTGTGAAAGATGCATCTCTGAGATCAAATTGAACAGACCCACATGTGAAGAGCTATGAAACTCTTATAAAGTATAGTCTACCTATATTAAATTCCACATGCTATATTCCACTCTGAGTTTTTTTTTAAGGTTTTATTTATTTTTAGAGAGGGGAAGGGAGGAAGAGAGGGAAACATCAACCTGTGGTTGCCTCTTGTGCGCCCCCTATTGTAGGACCTGGCCCACAACCCAGGCATATGCTCTAGCCTAGGAATACAACTGGTGACACTGGTTTGCAGGCTGCTGCTTGATCCACTGAACCACATCAGCCAGAGCCCATTCTGAGTTTTTTAAAACAAGACCTGCACAGGGTTATGAGAAAATGAAGGGAAAAATAGGGTGTGACATTTCCTTTTAAACCATCATGGCATTTAACATTTTAGTGTTGTTTTGAACTAAATTAATTTGTATTCAATTTGCTTTAGGAAATGTAGCCCTATACTTACTTACCTGCAGGCTTTCTAGACACAGCTTCCCGGAGGTTTTCTTCAGCACAGAACGCAGGACGGAGGTCTTGGAGGACAGAATGTCCCTCTTGCACAAAGGAGTGACCAGGGACCTGACTTCAAGAGCCGAGCCTCTGCTCCCTTCTGCGAATTTGTCAGGTGAAACAGCATCTCCTGATCCTCTGCCCTTTGCACAGTCAGCAGCCTTGATTCCTTCAAAGTAACCATGTAAAACATAAGAGGCAGAAGACACCTGAGTCAGCTTGTTTTCTATACAAAAACTTTGCATTTGCCAAGGCAATAACATGCTGTAAAGAAACTCAACCCTAGATCACTTGCAGCCCTAATATATCTGTTTAGGGAATACTATTGAGGTTTTCATTTGGAAACATAAAGAGAAGACAGAGAAGTGGCACTGGTTGCAACTTTTAATTCTAATCTACCTCCTGAGGGTAAAGATAATCAGGAGTTCGGGCTCCCAGGGGAATCTGGGCATCTATCCATGAATCAGCTAATAACTGTTCATCTGCCTCTTCTCATGACACCTGTGACTTGCACCATAAAACTCACCTGAGCTCACAACAAATAATACCCAGTTTTACTGCTTATAAGTGCGGTGGGAGGGAGAGGACAGAAGGCTTATGACAAAGATTATGAAATCAAAAAAACTAACATACTATATGTGCCCCCAAACCAAGCAACTGCCCTCTGCAAACACTTTCTCACGAGAGAGCACTGCCTTATGATCAACATTTGACAAGCATATATTACATGTCTCTGACGTGGCAGGCACTCCAGAGACAATGATGAACAAAACATACAAAGCCCCCATGAGGGATCCTTGTGATTAAACTGTTCTGTTGTTGACTGCAGTGTGGTCATGAGTCTACACGGAACACAATTACACAGAACTGGTCTACACACAAATGAGTGCATGTAAAATGTATGCAATCTGAGAAAACCCAGGGAGCTGGATCAGTGTTAGCTTCCGGGTGTGACGCTGTATTTCAGCTATGTAAGATGTGCTGCTGGGGAGAAATGGGACAAGGATATACTGGATCTCTTTAGATTATTTCTTATAACTGCAAGTGATCTATAGTTAGCTCAAAATAAAAAGTTAAAGAAATGCATATATAACAAGTAGTAATACCTGCCATTAAGGAAAATAATGTTGAGGTATGGGGACAGGGTATGATGAAGTAGCAGGAGGGTGCTGCTGCTTTGGGGTATTCAAAGACAGCTCCCTAGGCAGAAATCTGAATTCAGTGAGCCGTGCCCACATCTAGGGAGAAGCAGTCCATGCACCAAGCCAAGAGCAAAGACCTGATAGAGGAATGTACCTGGCATATTACATGGAGGGACAGGGCCAGTGTGACTGGAAAAGAGGAAACAAGAAGAGCTATGAAATAAGCTCAGGGAGAAGCTCAGGACTAGGTCTGGTAAGGTTTAGCAGAAAGGGTGCTAGATCCTGTTCTAAGTATACTGGGAAGACAATGAAAGATTTTAAGAAGGGGAATGACATAGTGCAGCTTGCATTTTAAAAGGAGTACCCTGGCCACTGTGTAGAAGACTAAAAAAAGGGCAGAATGACGGTAGAAACGGGAAGATCACTAATGATTTCCAGGCAAGAGAAGATGGTAGCCTGATCCATATTGGTAGCAGTTAGGTCATCAGAAGTGGTTAGACATTCGAAGTATGTTGAAGGCAAATAGCATTCATTCACGGGGCTGGAAGTTGAACTTGAAAAAGGGAGTGTCCAGATAACTGCAAGGTTTCTGGCACAAGCAATTGGGTGAATAGTAGTCTTGTTTCCTGAGATGAAGAAAATTGAAATGAGCAGACAGGGGGCAGGAAAAATCCTCACAACCTATCAGAGCGTGTTAAGTCTGAGGTGTTTGTTAGACATCTATGGGGAGATCAGGGAAAGCAGCTGAGCACTTAGAGTTCTGGGAAGAGGTCAAGGACAGACACACAGATCAATAGCACACAGATCCTATTTACTGTTGACAATGCCAGCAGTCACCTACGGAGTGAGTTTAGAGAGAGAGAGAGAAAAATAAAGCACTGAACCCAGGGCATTGAAATGTTTTCAAGGTTGAAATGGAACAGGAGGGACAAGGAAAATACACAAAGAAAAGGTCCATCAAGTAGGGGAAGCCACAAGAGAATGGTGTCCAGATGCCCAGGGAAGGGACCAGCCCTCCCAGGAGGCGGAGGCTAGCTTGGCTGCTGATGACCAAGAGCCCTCGAGAAGAGGGACATACTGAGCACGGCCTGAGGGTGGCAACAAGGAGGCTGCCGGCTACCAAGGCCTGTTTGGAGCTGGGTCAAGAAACAGTGGGAGGGAAGGAGACTACCAAGTGCCAAGGACCCCTGTGATGTGATAAATTCGGTGAGGAATATCAGCACACAAAATGTTAGGCTCAGATCTACCTGAGAGAGGAGCTGAGCAGGCAGAGAGTCTCCGAGCTGGACTCCCAGGCAGATGGGTGAAAGGGACAAAGTGGAGAGGGCCAGGGAGCTAACAGAGGCATCACACAGGCTTGCTCCTCTCCCAGCACTCCCTGAGCTTAGTGTATGCTACCCCACTTTACAAGATCTTTTCATTCTTCCTAAAGCTGTATGGTCTGGAATATAATAACCTCTGGGGTACCACCAAATAACCAGTTTAAAACAATGAAGCTAGCAGTAGGTTCTTTTAATCAAAGCCCCACATCTACGACAGATTTATCTTTCTCTGTCTTATGCAATATTCCTGTATAGGGCATGGTGAGATGTAAAATGGGATTATGTTGGCTTTGTGATGGTCTCACCCGAGACAGGTTGTACAGGGAGGTGTTTGGTATGACAGTTTTTAATGACCACATTGCATACATTCCGTAACTGCGGTCAAAGGGTATGACACTTCTACGACAAAATCCTATGAGAGTGAAACAAGACTATAGGTAAGAAATGCTGAAGGCAAAAGCATCTTATTTCACTTAGGTAACAAGCTCAGCACCCAGCTCTGTGCCTCATCCATCTGTTGTAAGATTAAGGTGAATAAGTAAGAGTGGATGTGAGCTATAAAAAATGCTAAAAGAAGTTCTTTTCCAGCCCTGGCTGGTGTAGCTCAGTGGATTGAGTGCAGGCCTGTGAACCAAAAGGTTGCTGGTTTGATTCCCAATCAGGGCACTTTCCTGGATTGTGAGCTAGGTTCTCAGTAAGGGGTGTGTGAGAGGCAACCACACACTGATGTTTCTCTCCCTCTTTTTCTCCTTCCCTTACTCTCTATCTAAAAATAAATAAATAAAAACTTAAAAAGAAGAAGAAGAAGCTCTCCTCCAGGTAGAAGGGAAATACTATCAGAATGCAACTTAGATCTTCAGGAAAGAATGAAGAGCACCAGAAATTGTGTCTAAGATGGCTAACTATAAAAGACTGTCTCCCCACAAACACACATGATTGCTTACAGGAAAAACAATCTTGTGGGGTTTAAATGAACATAAATGTAACATAGATGACATCGATAGTGTGAAGGACCATAAAAGACATGAGTAGACAGAAAATAGATCTATGCAATTTGCAAAGTTTCCACATTTACATGAAGTTATATGATATTACTGTGACTCCAAGGAGGCTGTAAGAAGTTAAGGATATTATGTCACAATCCCTAGACTAAAATTAAAAATAAAATAAAATGATGCAGTGAAGTATAGTTTAATAGGTAATGAGGAAATAGATTTCTAAAATAAAAAATATTCAAATAAACCTTAAAAAGACATGAAGGAAACAAAGAAAAAAGATTAAGAGAGCAAAGAGAAACACATGATAAAATAGTAGATTAAATCAAACCATATCAATAATTACTTGAAAGGTTAATAAGCCAAATACTCCAAAAGGCAGAGAATCTCAGATGATTAAAAAAACAAAACAAAACAGACTTTTACTTTAAAGACAGACAAAAGTAAGTTGAAAGTAAACCTAATACTTTACTAGTAACTTTCATTCAATACAAGCATACTGGTTTTGGAAAAGGCCAAATAAATTTTGAATGCTAGTCCCCTTTCACACACCTTAAAAAAACATAATACAGTTTATCAGCTTGTAAATATTTCACTTATTCAAAGAAGACAATGTCATCTCTCACATAAAAAGAATTCTGAAACATTTCTATTAGACAAAGAGCTCCTAAAATTTAGGGAACTGTTTTAGTTTTCCCACATTGTAGCATCCAGGTACACCAACCATAAATGCCTACTGAACAAATGTTTCAGTAGGTGCCCGGGCACATGCACTAAGGAAAAATTAAACACTTACCGCTTGAAGCCTCTGTGAGCTCTGAGAGGAGAAGAGACTGTTCAACTAAACACCCAGACTGTGTTAAACCAGGTTCAGAAGACTTCTTGGGGGAAAACGTTTAGAATAAAAAAAAGTATTATATCTTATTAATTACAGGATTACTAATACCTTTATAAAGATTTGAGTGAGCAGTACAGATTACCTAGAAACCTAATATTAAATCAATCAATCAATCAATCGATGAGAGGATTTTATCATCTTCATTATTTAGTCACAAAAGTATAGGGGAATCCAACTAAAAAAGAATATTCATTCTACCTGTGTCCTAAATACCTTATCAAACAACATTTAGTCCCCTAGGAAAAGTTTATAGGACACATTTTTGTTGTCTTATTGTTTGAAGTCCACAAACTACATTAACTGCATTCATTAAAGAGGAAATTCTCCAAACAGAAAGCATAAGTACTTACTAATCAAACAAAAGATATCAATACTGAGAACAGGAAAACCACTGCTGGCTAGGATAGAAAGCACTCGTATTAATGTGGAAGCCATTTCTCAATCATGGTTCATGCCCAAACAATCCAAGTGCAGTTCAGAAACAATCATTATTGGTTCTGTCAGACTGTAAGCCACTTTGAGATAAAAATGAACCTACTGCCCCTGAAGAATCTTTAACTGACCATCAAACATTTATACCAGTCCCAATAAAATCATCAGGACATGTGCTAAATCAATGCGCTGGAGAAGGTACAGAAAAAAGACTTCAACTCTATCAGTGCTGGGTGTCCCTCCTCACTATGGAAATGGGACTTGCTGTGCCAAACCCAAACTAACAGTATGAAGCAGGAACTGTTCATGAGAGATCTAGCTCCTTGTTTACATCTGAGTTAAGGTCAAGGGCAGTCAATAGTATCACTCAATTCACCTTAGTTTTTTGATCATCTTGACAGACCTTGAACCATCATCAGCAACAAAAACCCGTACAGTTCCCTGAGGCGAGTGAGCAGAGCAAAGGACCAAGTACCAAACAGCACCTGCTTCTGGCCAGCAAGAAACCAGGCACTGTGGCAAGGCCAGGGGCCAAGACCCCGCACGAGGAGCCAGCGCCATGTAAGCAGCACGCTCGCTGTCCACCTCCTCTGGCAGCTTTCTGTTGGACCATCAGCCTCTACAACCCCACTCCATTCGCAGAAGACACACTGCCTCATCTTTTCATACAGCTTTTCCAAAAAGCTTTTACTCAAAGCTGTCTCTACCAACCAGTAAGACAACAACATATTAACAAGTAGGAAACACACACACATACATGCATGCACATAATTTGAAGGGATCTTGAGTCGTTAAAACTGCCTTCCCAGGAAATCAAAGCTTTATTACCCTGTGTTTCCAGTAACTGATTACCTCAGAAAGGTCTGCTGAAGTTTCAGCCACGCTCGTTCTGTCTGCATTAGGAGGGGTGGACGTACTGAACGTCTGGAGAGCAGCTGCCTTAGTGAGACTGGCATCCAAGTGGCTCTGAGAAGACCGTCTCCGACGTTTGGGTGACTGGGCAAGGCACGCAGACTGTCGACATTCACCAAGACGTTCCTTTTTGGCTGCACACACAAAACAAAATCACAGGCATGAACATTTTTTTTAACAGTGTCATTTTACAATTTTGTATGTCATCATTTTAGTAAAATTTAATGTTCAAGTCTAAAAACTTTAGCAACAAAAAGGAAAACCTAGTACAATTAATTCAAAAAAGGTAAGAGAACATGACTATTAAAATCATACAAATTTAATTAGAATTAAGTTTCTTCAGACTTTAAAATGAAGAAAGATATGCTAAAATACTTTTGCCTTGGTGATATAGTATCTCATTCTGTGTTTAAATTTACATTGAAACTTATTCTTTTGAACATTTCAAAGGATGTGGTTATGGTCTAATATTGGTCTTGCTTTGATTGTGTATGATTTTGTAAGAAACAGAGTCACAACGTGACCAAGTTTTTTAGCTACTAAAAAGAATTTTACTCTGGAGAATTACAATAATCATGTTAATAAAATATCTTAAAACCCAGGTAAATACTGGAAAATAGATAAGCTACAAACTGCAAATAAAAACCAGTACATCTGAGCAGGTCACGCACTAACAGGCAGTCTTGAGCTGCAGTGCACCTCGTGTAGGGAGGTGTTGAAATGGGATATGAAGATGGGATAGAAGATGGTTCAAGAGGCCAAACCAAAATCATCTGGATCCTTCCTTAGTGTGCAGAGCACTTGAGGTATGATTATGGTGATTACAGCAAGGCCAGGGCTTGTCTAATTCTTCTGTTCCAAATGCTTTGTGGTCAGAAAATCAAAGGTGACAGAAAAAAATAACCAAATGAATTATAATCTAAAAGTTATGATACAGAATATGGCAGGCTATTAAGATGTCGATTTAGATATATCTGTTTAAAATATCGGGTATGGGTGTTTGGTATTCATATACATACTAGCTGAATTTAATAATAACCCTATAAAAACCAAGTTTGTACACTCAAATTTGCCACATGCCCTATTCTAAAGATGAAATGAGCTAACCATGTGACCCTGTGAAAATGTAGGCTCAGAAATGGTTGCTATCAGGTTTTTTCAAGAAAAACCAGAAATGCAGGTTTTTGTATAAAACATCCCATTTAAAAATACAACTCTGGGCCCTAGACAATTAGCTCAGTTAGAGCATCATCCCCCCACACAAAGATTGTGGGCTTGATCCCCAGTCAGGGCACACACAAGAATCAACCAATGGGCCCTGGCCAGGTGGCTCAGTTGGTTGGAGCATCATGCTGTACACCAAAAGGTTGTGGGTTCGATCCCTGGTTGGGATATGTATAGGAGGTAACCGACTGGTGTTTCTCTCTCATGTTGATATTTCTGTCTCTCCTCCTTCCTTTCTCTCTAAAATCAATAAACACATCCTTGGGTGAGGATTTAATAAAAAAAAGAATCAACCAACAGCCCTGGACAGGCAGCTCTGGTGGTTAGAGTGTCATCTCGATACACCAAGATTGTGGGTTTGATCTCTGGGCAGGGAACATACAAGAGTCAACCAATGAATGCATCAACAAGTGGAACAACAGATCAATGTCTCTCTCTATCTCTCTAGTCAGTAAGTTAAAAAATGAAGAATCAGTGAATGAATGCAAAAGTGGAACAAATCGGTATCTCCCTCCTCCTTCCTATCTCTCTGTAAAATCAATCAAATAAAAATAAAAACAAAAACACAACTCTGCTCAAAAGGACTGCTTTTGCACTGTGGAACTAAATCTTTTTTTGGTATCCGAGGCTTGTCTGAATAAATACAGAAGTCCAAACTGACTGAATTTCTTTTACTCACTCGTGCCTGTTTCCTTGAACTCTTCCTCTGCCTCTGAGAAATCAGTACAGGCAGTAGTTCTTTCCTTTTCCTTTATGGATTGAAAGGCTGACTGGAAGGCAGATATTCGCTCTCTTAAAGAACTGACATTTCGATGCAGTACAGGGCTGCCCTGTTAAAATGCAGACACACAGAGCATATTATATTATAAATCAAATAAAACATAGTTTCTGTGTTCTAGGCCTAAAACCATTGAATCTAAAACCAAATATAAAGACTTTTGGAAGACCAGAGGTAAGAAATTAGTGCAAGGGAGCCTCTTCTCCCTTAACACACACATGTTCAGTTTGAACATTCGATGTGCTGCCGTCATCTGAGTTTCTCCCTCTGTCCCTCCCCGTTTTTGGCAAAACCTGAATGAAGAGGAATAGCTGTGTGGTATGTATACATATGTAGCCATGGGCTGGTCAATGATGATACTAAGTCTATGGACCAGACAAGAAGAACTCTGGAGTAGCTGGAAAATGCTTTAAAAAGGCTCCCAAACAAAACACACTTCCAATTATTTGAAGGCTTAACAACTCTTTACAAAATCCATTGAAAATCACCTGCGTGACAGCTTTGTCACATGTCCTGCTTTAATCCAAGCCAGTCTCATTACTCACCTTCACACATACACACCCTCTCCTAGCTCCTAGGAGGCCAGAATCACACATACACATCCCCTCGAAGCTCAGGCACCCACGCTCACATTTACTCTCATCTCTGGCTCTCTCCAGCTAAATTTTTCCTCATTTCATGGGACACTACCTCCTTAGAGCTGAAAGCTAGCCATCCACTTAAAATTCCACGCTAAATGGTTAGATGGGCAAACACAGGAGCTCTCTGCAAACTCAGCTCATCGGGTTTCAGCCAAAGATTCACAAAATGAAACTGATACAAGCAGGATAGATATGCCAGAAAAAATGCAAGTAATATACAATTTAAGAGTTCTGTTTAGCCATAAAACAAACAACTGAGTTAAGTTCTCTACCCAAGATCTTCCCCCCCCTTTATCATTTAGACTAAGGACATATTTTTACTGCTTTGGAGCTTGTGGCAATTAACAAAATTACACCAATGGGCAAACATTAAAATAATAATATACCTCCCTTTAAGATATTTTAAGGAGGAAAATCCATTACAATTTTGAAGCCATGTTTGATGGTAAATCTGCTCATAGATTTGATTCGATTCCCAGTTAAATACATTCGCAAAGCAAACTCTGTTACACAGTAACAAAGCGCTAAAAAGTCCCACAGTGACTGACGACGTAACCTTTGTGACATGAACAGCATACAGCCGCCATTAAAGCTGGTGGCCAGCTTTATCTCTGTGAGACATGGAGAAAGGAAGGGGTTATCCCAAAGTCCTCCATTTTCCTCAAATATGCTTTTTTGGGTAGTCGTATTTGAACACAGTAGGGGTAGGTTCAGGATCCTAGGAATTTGGAGCACGCTGAAATGCTGCTTAAAACAAATTCTAGGTGCCCCAAGTCAAAACTGGTTTTTCCTGATGGAGAATATACAAAGTAAATGAAACATTCCAAATGAACTGCTTTTTTGATGCTTTTGTCTTGTGAATCGTGCAAGTCAACAACATTCTTCCACGTACCAGAAACTGTTCCAGGCGCTCAAGGATGAAGGGGGAAATCACGTTCTAGAGTAAAGCTCTGAAAACACAGTAATATAGTTTCAGAGACAAGAGGTGCTATTGAGAAGATAAAGGAATAGCTATTCAGTAACTAAAAGGGCTTCTACCGGAAACATATATTTGAGTTCAAACCAAAACAATGAGAAAGTGGTAGTGACCTTGACTGCTGTGGCTCAGTGAGTTGGGAATAGTCCCATGAACTGAAAGGTTGCTGGTTCAATTCCTGGTCAGGGCACATGTGGGGGTTGTGGGCTCGTTCCATGGTTAGGGCATGCAAGAGGCAACCAATCAATGTTGCTCCTGCACATTGATGTTTGTCTCCCTTCCCCTCTCTCAAAAAATAAATAAATAAAATCTTTATTAGAAAAAGTGTTAGTGAAGGGAAGGCAGTAGGGGAGGCAGGCATTCTGCAAGAACAGGCAGAACAAAAGCAAAGGCCCAGATGGAAATAGGATGCAGCAGAAAGAAGACCAGAAGTGCCCAGGGGGTGAAGGGAGGCAGGGAGATGAGGCCAGAGCATATTCTCAACAGTGTTAATAACAAAAGCCTAATCAGAGTGGCAGGCAGTAGTGGAGAGGATAAGAGAGAAGGAAGTGGAGTGAGACAAGACAGACAAACTGTTCGAGGGTTTTGCTGGATGGACTGGCATAGAAATAGGACATGGGGAGGTCTAAGAAAAGTTAGAGATAAAGTTATTAAGGTTTATTTGTACTAACAGAAACTGACCCCCGCCCCAAAAAGGAGCATAACTACAGAAGAAACACCAGCTCAGAATAACATACGTGGTCATAATAACGTCAACATCTGTATATTGATGTAACCAAATTATTGGGAAATTGTACAGAGGGGTGTCAAACTGATTATCACTAAGGGCCACATCAGCTTCGTGGCTGCCTCCAAAAAGCTGAATATAATTTTAGGGCTGTATAAATGTAACTACTCCTTAACAGCTTAGGAGTTGAAATTACATTTGGCCCTCTGAAGGCAACCGACAAGGCTGATGTGGCCCCCATGGGGGCCCATGAAAATGAGTCTGATACCCCTGTTGTACAGGATGGGGAGCACACAGTGTATATACAATAATAGGTATGAGGAAGAAAGAGGGCTAGATTTCTGTTTTCCATGGTGGGAAGTCAATAGCTAATGCCTCAACACTGAAAGATTAAGAAGTAGCAATTAAGTAAAAGTAAATAAAAAAATTCAGTAAAGTTGGCAGAATACAGAATTAACAAAAATCTGTTGCATTTGTATACATTAACAACAAACTATCTGAAAGAGAAATTAAGAAAACAATCTCATTTACAACTGCATGAAAAAGAGCAAGATATCTAGGAAAAAATTTAACCAACAGGTGAAAGACCTGTACACTAAAAATTTTAAGAAATTTATGAAGACACAGATAAAAGGAAAGATATTTTGTGCCCATGGATTGAAAGAATTTATATTGCTAAAGTATCCATAGTACACAAAACAATCTATGGATTCAATATAATCCCCACCAAAATTCCAATGTCATTCACTACAGAAATAGAACAATCATAAAATTTGCATGAAAGTACAAGACCCTGACTAGCCAAAGTAATCTTAAGAAGGAACAAAGCTGGAGGCATCATATGCCCTGACTGCAAACTATATTGCAAAGCTATAGTAATTAAAACAGTATGGTATTATCATAAAAAAACAGACACAAAGATCAATAAAACAAAAATAGAGAGCCCAGAAACAAACCTGTGCATATGGTCAATTAGTTACAACAATGAAGCAAAGAGCATACAAAGGAGAGAGGTCAGTCTCTTAAATAAACTGTGTTAGAAAACTAGGAGACTTCCAGCCAAGATGGAGGCCTAGGTAGACACACTGTGCCTCCTCGCACAACCAAAAGAAGGATAACAACAGTTTAGAAACAAAGTAACAACCAGAAGTGACAGAAAATTGAACTGTATGGAAGTCAGACAACCAAGGAGTTAAAATAGACACCTTCATTCAGACCAGTAGGAAGGGTGGAGTCGGGCAGCTGGGTAGAGAGGGGTTGAGGCACAAAAACCAGTGGCACTGGGAGCTCAGGCGGCAGCTGGCAGACCCCAGGCACGGGGTGGCAACGGGCAGACCCAGCAAGGTGGCGACTGTGAAGCAAGGCACTGCGAGCAAGGCAGCTGGCTGACGTAGCAGCCCCACATTCGTGAGCAGATAAACCAGGAGCAATTGAGGAGCGAGACAGACCACGCAACCCAAGGTCCCACCACTCGGAAATAGAGCCTCAGGACACTGATTGAAAACACCTGTGGGGGTTGAGTTGCAGGGAGACTCCCAGCCTCACAGGAGAATTCAATGGAGAGACCCACGGGGTCCTAGAAGGTGCAAAAGCCCACCCACACGGGAATTTGCACCAGAAAGGCCCAGTTTGCTTGAGGGAAGCTGCGGAAGGAACTGAAATCTGACAGAGGGCAGAGCAAGTGCCATTGGTCCCTCTCGGACCCTGCCCCCACATACAGTGTCACAACTCAGCAACTGGGTTCCCCCGCCCTAGCGAACACCTAAGGCTCCACCCCTTACAACGTAACAGGCGCAACAAGGCGCACTCGCGCGCACACACGCCCAAACAGAACACATCAAAGCTCCAGAGCAAATACAACTAAGCAACCAAGAGATAGCCAACCTATCAGATGCACAGTTCAAAACACTGGTAATCAGGATGCTCAAAGAATTGGTTGAATTTGGTCGCAAATTAGATGAAAAAATGAAGGCTACACTAAGTGAAATGAAGGAAAATGCATAGGGAACCAATAGTGATGGGAAGGAAACTGGGACTCAAATCAATGGAGTGGACCAGAAGGAAGAAAGAAACAACCAAACAGAAAAGAAGGAAGAAACAACTCAAAAAAATGAGGAGAGGCTTAGGCACCTCCAGGACATCTTTAAACATTCCAACGTCCAAATGATAGGGATACCAGAAGGGGAAGAGGAAGAGCAACAAGTGGAAAAGTTATTTGAACAAATAATGAAGGAGAACTTCCCCAATCTGGCAAAGGAAATAGACTTCCAGGAAGTCCAGGAAGCTCAGAGAGTCCCAAAGAAGTTGGACCCAAGGAGGAACACACCAAGGCACATCATCATTACATCAGCCAAGGTAAAATGAAGGACAGAATCCTAGAAGCAGCAAGAGATAAGGAAATAGTAACCTACAAAGGAGTTCTCATCAGACTGTCAACTGACTTTTCAACAGAGACCTTGCAGGCAAGAAGGGGCTAGAAAGAAGTATTCCAAGTCATGAAAGGCAAGGACCTACATCAAAGACTGCTCTATCCAGCAAAGTTTTCATTTAGAATGGAAGGACAGATAAGTGCTTCTCAGATAAGATCAAGTTAAAAGAGTTCATTATCACCAAGCCCTTATTTTATGAAATGTTAAAGGGACTTATCTAAGAAAAAGAAGAGAAAAAAACATGTATAGTAAAATGACAGCAAACTCACAATTATTAACAACTACACCTAAAACAAAAACAAACTAAGCAAACAACTAGAACAGGAACAAAACCACACAAATGGAGATCACATTGAGGGTTAGCAACAGGGGAGTGGGAGGAGGAGAGAGGGGGAAAAGGTATAGAGAATAAGTAGCATAGATGGCAGGTAGAAAATAGATAGGGGGAGGGCAAGAATAATATGGGAAATGTAGAAGCTAAAGAACTTATGACACATGGCCATGAACTAAAGGGAGGGAATGTGGGTGGGAGGGGGTGTGCAGGGTGGAGGGGAATGAAGGGGAGGTAATGGGACAACCGTAATAGCATAATCAATAAAATATATTAAGAGAAAAAAAAATACTGGACAGCCACATGCAAAAACATGAAATTGGACCACTATCTTCCACCATACACAAAAACTAACTCAAAATGAATTAAACACCTGAACGTGATAAGACCTGAAACTCCTAGAAGAACTCCTAGAAGAGAAAATACAGGCAGTAAGCTCCTTTACATTACTCTTGGCAGACTTCTTTGATTTGGCAACAAAATAAAAAATGAACAAGTGGGCCCCAGCTGATGTGGTTCAGTGTACTGAGTGCCAGCCTGTAAACCCGAGGGTCATTGGTTCAATTCCCAATCAGGACACATGCCTGGGTTGCAGGCCAGGTCTCCAACAGGGGATTCTCAAGAGACAACCACACATTGATGTTTCTCTCCCTCTTTCTCCCTCCCTTCTCCTCTGTAAAAATAAATAAATAAAATCTAAAAAAAAAAAAAAAAAGAACAAGTGGGACTACATCAAACTAGAAGGCTTCTACACAGTAAAGAAAACCATCAACAAAATGAAAAGGAAACTTACCAAATGGAAGAAAATATTTGTAAACCCTATTTGATAAGGGGTTAATATCCAAAATATATAAAGAACTCATATAACTCAATCACAAAAGAACAAACAGTACAATTTAAAAATGGACAGGAGATCTCACTAAATATTTTTCCATAGAAAATAAACAGAGAGTCATCAAATACATGAAAAGGTGCTCAACATCACTAATGATCAGGGAAATGCAAATTCAAAACCATGATGCAATATTACTTCACACCTGTCAGTTTATTATAAAAAACAAAACAAAACCAAAAACCAAACAACAAATAGTTGGTAAGGATGTGGGGAAAAGGGAATAACCATTGTGCTCTTTTGTTGGAATTGAACAATAGTACAGCCATTATGGATCAAGTATAGAGTTTCCTAAAAAAACTAAAAACTGATTATCATATGATCCAGCAATTCCACTTTTGGATCTATCCAAAGAAAACAAAAACACTAATTCAAAAAGACATACCCCCCCATACCCCTATGTTCATTGAAGCACTATTACAATAGCCAAATATGTAAACAACTTACACACACACACACACACAGACACACACACACACACACACAGACACACACACACACACACACACAGAGTGGACTATTACTCAGCCACAAAAAAGAATGAAACCTTGCCATTTGGGACAACGTGAATGGACCTGGAGAGTATTATGTTAAATGACATGAGATGGAAGAACAAAGACCATAAGATTTCTCTTATATTTGGAATTAAAACAAAGCAAACATACAAACTAAACAACAGAAACAGAGTCTAGGAAACAGGTCAACCTGATGGTTTCCAGAGGGGAAGGGGTTTGGGGGAAGGGCAAAAAAAGTAAAGAAAAGAGGTCCAAATTTTCAGTTATAAGTCAGTCACGGGGATTTAATGTACAGAATAGAGGATATAGTCATTAATATCACAATAACTTTGTACGGTGTCAGTTACTAGACATCATGGTGATTACATCATTAGGTAAATAAAACTTGCATAATTAGGTTGTAAACCTGAATCTTACAGAATATTGTATTTGAACTATTTTTTTAAATTAAAAAAAAAGCAGGCCACATAAAGGATAAGGAAACAAAATATGCATTGATTGAATTATTGGACAGGATTCTTTCAGTTCTGCACTCTAAAATACAGTGGAGCAATGCCTTCGAAATTTTGATGGAAAATATGTCCAGCCTAGATTTCAGTTATACTAAGACAATCCATAACTCAATGTGCTGATAGAATAAACATTGTCAGAGGCGCAAAGGCTCCAGAAAAATGAGGTAGTAAACCAAGAAAGGAGAAAGATACGTGATCCAGGAAACAGGGAATCCAAATTGGAGAGGAAAAGGGAATTACCACAGATGATGAAAAGAAGTCGTAAAATGACAGCTAACCAACCAATCCAGTGGCAATCAAGCCAAGAGGAGGAAGAAGACGGGAGACACCAGGGAAAAGAAAAGATAGACTCCTAAGGTTTGCAACTCTTGTCAAAGTTTGGTGATGGGATTATATGAGAAATTATAAGACTAAACCAAACCTCCCCCAAAATTATGAAGCACAAGAATAACAAAAGTTGTGCAAGAAAGGAGTATGACTGTAATATACTACAAAGCAGCTTGTAAAAAATGTCTACATGATTAAACATACATGCTACACCCTAATTTAAACAAAAAAACTGTAGTTGACTATTGGAAGCAATGGGAAAGGGGAAAGTGTCAGGACAGCTATGACAAGAAGATGTGAGACAACAAAATCCTCCTTTTCCCCAGAAATAACAACAGTGAGTCTAAAGCACTCCATATTGTAGGCACTGTTATCAGTGCTTCGTATCTACTAATTTATTCGTCCTCATAAAACCCTTGCTATTATCACTCTTATTTTATGCACGAGAATACTGACAAAAAAAAATCTCGCCAAACTCACAATTAATAATAAAGCCAAGAACCAACCCCCAGTAATAGAGCTCCACTGTCCATATTCGTCTCTACTCTTACAAGTTCTCGGAAGTCTTTACACTCTAAAAATGATTGTAAACACCAACAGCTCTTAGTTTATGTTGGTTGTATCTATCAAAAGAGTATTTTAATGGCCTTTTCAGAATTGTGGACATTCTTCTTTAATGGAACATAAAACTTAAAGATTTCACTAAGGTTGGCTGCAATGTCAAACATGAAATCCTACCAATGAACCTTCTCATACTGTCTTAGGTGAACTTCTGTGGGTCTCTCTTGCAATTTGAGGGCATATTTTGTATATGCTGGCAAATATGGCAAATATTTGTCATGTGACAAATATGGGTTCACTCAGCAATGCAGATCTTCCAAATGTTGACATATTTTACTATGTAATATCAAAACATCACATTAGTTAATGTCCCCACTAATCAGAAAAGTCTAGCATTATCAAGCTAATGGTGGTGAATTCTTTTCCAAAATTCTAGTTTTCCCTAGAAAACTCAATTTTTTTCATTGGTAAGAAATATGTTTTTCTTTGAAGTGGCACATTCATTTTTGAGAAAATGTCAGCCACATTCCCAAGTCTGACTAACCATGATATGTGTCAATCACTTTCAAGGAAAAATTTTGTTCCATGAAAAAAAGTATTCAGCTCACAGCCCAAACAATTACACGTGATTTTTCTCTAAACAACCAACTTCTGTGTGTACTTTGGAAGTACCTGATGCATACTTTCCATTTCATCACATGTAATACCTACCACTGAGAATAAAATTTATAATTTTTATTGCTTCATCAAGAATTTTAAGTGAAACTGGCATTATTATTATTTCTTGTGAATCCTTGTCAGTGATGTATAAAATGACAACTTGATGCCATCAGTTTTACCCACCACTCTTTGGCATTAAGAGCGTGAACATCAAGACAGTGAAAAAAGGCAAACAGCGTATTAGGCCTATTACAAAAAAGTTTTGACCTTTTGAATGGAAAACTCAGGGATCCCCAGGGATCTGCAGACAGATAACCTTTGAGAACCACTGCATTGCACTGTACAGCCTCCTGCTCACATGCTGTCTGAAAATGAACAATAAGGAAGTGGCAATGTAAGCACATTATAAAATATGAAGGCCAATGCCACAAGAGTGAGAAGCAGTTGTCCTTCAAAATGGATAAACTGGGGACTGTGTCTTTGATAGCAAGGCTTGTAAGACTACTTGACTTTTTAGGAGCCAGTATTATTCTACTAAAAACCTGCAAAGCTATGTAAATAGTTCCCTATCAGCAGACAAACAGTTTGTTCCCTTTCACAAGGTTATCCCAAATATACTTTGTCCTGGGGAACTCCTGCCCTATATGGCAACAAGTAGTAATTGCAAAAAATTACACTTAGAGATATTAAAAGCAAAAGGTTGAAAAACATTGCCTTACCTCACTATAGAAAAGCAGGCATGAACTAGAAAAATATTTGCAAAATAAAACAGCTCCTCTAGAAGGTAATTTTTATCCAGAATCTTTTAATACAGCGGTAGGCAAAACTGAGTTTGCAGTTGTGAGTATGCAAAACAAGAGTTTATTCTTATTATTTATTCATTATGATATTATTTCCCATATGAATAACTGGATATCATCAGTTCCACTAACTGCACATTCTCTCTATAAGGCAGAGAAAATGCCATCTCTCCAGGTCCAAAACAGGAAGAAACACTTTACAAAAGCTTTGTAACAGAGCAAAACATTCTCCCTAAAAGAATTCATGACGGAACTTAGAAAAATATATATCATACCGGTAAAGGGAAACTCTGTGTCAAAGGAGACTTCTCTGCATTCTTTAAATTCCGTTGCTGAGCAATGAAACGAATAAGGTTGTTTGTTTCAGGAGAGCCCCGGACACCAACTGTAGAGCGTCGTCTGGATTTTTTAAGGTAGGATAATGACTTTCCTATAATAAAAACTCTCTTTTAAATTGAAACAAAACAAGGCAAACATCAGTAATCACGTCCTGACGATCTGTGATGTAGCAGCTTGAGAAGGATGATGATAAACACATGGTACAGAAATCTAACTAGAGAATTTATAGGGTAAGCTCATACATGATCAGCTGGATAGGAATCTTTGTTTTGTCCATTGACTTATTCCATTTTCCTGGAATAGTGCCTGGTACACAGAAGGTATTTATTAAACACAGTTGTGTGAGATGAACACACAAATATATTTATAATTAATAGTTATCATTTTGTTTCATATTTTCTTCACACAAAGAGGGCCATATCTTGCTTTGGACCAAGAGTTTCTCTTTTTCAGAATTAGCCAGTCCAAACCCCATGAGTTGAAAGGAAAGATCTCCATCAGGCCACACATATTCTCCTGTTTTCAGTTCTTCAAGGTGAGTTGCTTCTTTAGATACCTGTCTAGTTTTGGCACACTACCCTGAATTCTAGCTATATGCCTAAGCACAAAAAATTAGATTGTTACAGGCCTAGGAGTGCTGCTCTTGAGAAAACATGGAATGAATGGTGTGCCACCTTAGTCTTGTCTCAATCATGTATTAGTCTAGTGCCCTGACTTTCATGTCCCCCTTTACCTTCCATTTCTAAATCTAATTCCTCTCCTGTATTTCTCCTCCATCTAAGTCAGATTTCACAGGCGAATTTCATTCCTAACACTTGATGTTAGGAATTTTCTGTTTGTGATTTTGAAATAGGCAAACTCCAATCCTTCAACATAATATTTTCTTTCTTTTTTCTTTATCCTCACCCAATGACACTTTTTTCATTGAGTTTAGAGAGAGGGATAAGGAAAGAGAAACATCCATCGGCTGCCTCCCGTACCTGCCTGGACTGGGGATCAAACCTGAACCCTAGCTATGTGCCCTGACTGGAATCAAACCTTTCAGTTATAGGATGACACTCAAACCAACTGAGCCATACCAGCCAGGGCATAATATTGTCTTAACTGGTCTTCCACTTTCTCTTATTTTTGCCATAAATGACTATAAAATGTCTTACTGTTTATAGTACAGACTCTTGTATCCCATGTGTTAGGTCAAAAGTGATTTACACACATTCTTTCCCAGTGAGGGCACAAAGCACAACTCTGACCTGGGAATATTCTCATCCCTGGTCTCCTGCTATGTTAGATGAACACAGCATGTTCACAGAAGTCTCTCTGATCAAACAAGTTTGCAATTCAATCAATTTAGACATGTAAAATAGTAAGCTACATGGGATATGTGAATAAAATTAAGTTACTAAAATTACTTTTAAACTTTAAAAGCCCTGAGACAAAATGACTTCTCTTACCTGAACAGTTCTTTACAAAGCTTTCAGGTGTAATTCCCAGTTGCTCCACAGTTACTGTGGAAAAGTCCAAAGGTGATTTAAAAGTATCTGGTGTGCAAGGATCAGGAGTCACTTCAGCTGCATGATTCAGAGGTGTTACAAGATTCTCATTTCCCAAAATGAGAGAGGCATTTTCTGAAACAGACAACATGTTGAGGGGGCTAAGCATCTTTATGAAGACACACACCTGAATTGTAAATTTCACAAAGAGGCAACAGATCAGTACATACCAGCATTAAGAGCAGACTCCTTGGTTCCAGGGAATTCACTGTCTTTTGAGTTGGTAGCCATCTAAAAAGAGAGAAGAGAAAAAAAATGAAGAACCCCATTCCCCAGGTTAATGTGATTCGATGAAGATCCTCATTCAAGACTGAATTCTAATACAATCTATACTGGTATGAAAATGTCACGAGTACTTTTGGAACTCAAATTAAATGGAAACGGAGGAAACTGCTGTTCAGGATGAAACAAAGCAATCCCCATACTATAAGCTACCAATTTTCAGCTGGTGTGCTGCAAGAATTTTTAGCACATGCAATACCTGACTACTTAGTCAGGGGCACTGACTTCTTTTCCCTTAGATTGTCAAATAAAAAAAATGTCGACAGCCAACAAAACAATAGTTGTCTGGTGTGCATGAAAAAATATATATTTTGGCGTGCCACAGAATTTTGATAATTAGTTTAAGTGTGCAATGAGATGAAAAAGGTTGAAAACCGCTATCAGCCATAGATTTTCAATCTTAGCGAACACCTGAATCATCTGGGTACCCTGCAGAAGGCCAGCTTTGTGGACTTCCAGGAATTCTAACTCAGGAGATCTGGCTGGGCCCCAGGAATGTGCATTTTGAAAAGCACACCGGTGATCCAGCCAAGGACGCAGGAGAACCACTGTCTCCGTGGGGCAGGCCAAGTGGAACACACTTCTGAGAAACAGCACTGCTATACTATACCTGGAGTTCAAACCAGGGCACTTGCCCCACCTCTCACTCCTGCAACTCGGTTCTCCTTCTCCTTGGGTTTATTCCGGACGCCCCGCAGCACATGAGTGTCGTGGCTGTCCTGCCTTCTAGAGCTCGGCTCTTTAGTCCTGAAGGGAAAGCCAGTAGCCGGGCGTCCTGACTCGTCCCAAGCCGCCGACACCGTGGACTCGCAGGCCGCGGTACCTACATTTCAGCCCCGCATGGACGCCGCCCGCCGCTGGATTCAAATCGCCCGCCCCGCCTCCTCGGCATCACGGCATTACTGTATGAAACTCTACGCCGCCACCAGCAGCACGTGTCCACGGGCACCCCGAACCCTCCCAGACCTCTACCTAGCCGTCCGAGGAACACGAGTAGTCTCGTGGGTACAAGGAAAAGCGACCGCTAGCTGTGAGTGACTCACTGAGCAGAGAGAATACTTGCTAACCTGCATCCGTGGGGACTACTTCCCGTGAGAGTCTCGCGGAGGAACCCTTCAGTTAGACCTTTGATTACACCCCTCTGATTTTGATTGGATGCTGCAAACTTCGAAAAGAATCATTGGGCCAATCCTGACAGAACTACGAGTTGATTCTAACCCAATCAGCCAGCTCGGACGGCAGCCGTTTCTTCTGTGGGTTGAACGGTGGGAGGGGTTACAGGGGGAGGTGCTGACTTCTGTGAATCACATCTAGCGCCCGTTTTCTCAAACCCCGCCTCCGTATGCAGATGTGATCTACCTGGTGTTGCGTTTGCGCCTGCTCAGTAACGCTTTGAGCTGCTGTTGGGCTCCAGGTTCTGCTCTGATTGGTTGATAACCCTTCCCGTCTGCTTGACAGCAGCCCCTCTTTTCTCCCTCCACCTAGGCGGAGTTAGTATGAGCCCACCCAATACAAGGTGATGATTGGCGGAGTTCTGGCCGACGCTTCCGGTTCATTGGTGGAGCTTAGAGTCACTCTGGGGGGTGTTGGGGGAAGGGCCCGAGGCTGGCTAAGGAGTCCAGGGGCGGGGTGGGCAGGAGGACCCGCCAACCTAGGGGTGTGGGACCGACAGTGCGTGCATGTGTGTGCGTGTGTGCCAATAAGAGAAGGAAGGTGGCGAAGGGAGGAGAGACCGAGTGGGTGGAGGGAGGGGAAGGGCGGGAGAAAAAGGTGGGAGGAGAGCCAGGTGGGAGGGTGGCGACTCACTCAGGACCCAGTGGGGACAGCGCGATGAGGCGGGTGACCCTGTTCCTTAACGGCAGCCCCAAGAATGGAAAGGTAAGGGGGTCGGTCGGGAGGAGGCGAGGCGGGCCCCTCAGCGGGATGCCAGGGCAGCGGAGTGCGGAGCGGGCTCGCAAGGCAGAGGGCTGAAGTTGGGGAGAGGGGCTGGGAGGTGGGCGTGCTCCGTGGTAAGAAGTGTCCAGGAAGTGATGGTTGGGTCCCCGTGGCCTCTTCCCAGCCCCCGATTCCTACCTCGAGCTTGCCCTTCGACTCCCCAGCCTCCCCGAGGACTGGCGCAGGTCAAATTGTGCTTAATGGTTCCCAAGTCCAGGTGTGGGGCCGAGAGAACAGAGGGCTTGGGAGGGCCGCTGTCACCTAAGTGCGAGGTGCTGATGTTTCTCTGCCGTCTCCTCCCAGAAGACTCCCGTGCCTTCCCCCCGAAGGCTAGAAAAGGCGCCTGTTTCCACCTTCGTGCTGACTAATGGTCTGCCCCAGAAGTGGTGGTAACTAAGGCACGCGAGGTTGATCGGGTAAAAAGAAACTATCAGTGGGTAAATGAAATACTCTTCTATATCCTAGGTCAAAGAGAGGCTCGAAAATTAGGAGCATTTTCTTGATGGTTTCCTCTTTTAGGTCCACCAAGCCCCGCTGTCGCCAAACTTCTGTACCCCTTTTTTTTCCTTCAAATCTCTCCTTATTTTTGTTCTTTAGGGGACTGTGACAATAGGCCCCTATCAAAGGGATCAGTTTGACATTATTCCTTGCTGTTAAGCCTTTGCTGAGGGTGTGGTACTAAATATTGTTGGAACGCCCAAGCATGCCAAAATGAATCCTTTTCCTTCTCAGCTCTTGCCCCACCCAAGAAAGTTGTTCCACAGCTTTGGAAAATTTGACTGTTCAAGGCAGACATTTACGGAGTAGCTAAATGACATTTAGAAATAACTAAGCCTTAGAGTCTAAGGTTAAGGTATATTAATCTTGTATTGCTTGCGGGAATACTTTGTCTCCTGCGTATTTTGGAAACATTCTAAATTTCTAAATAGTGTAATTGTGCCACGGTATAAAAAATGATTTACCAACTATTCTGCAGTGTTGAGTAAACGTGCTCTAAAAATTTGAACCACAGTGTAGTTTGTTACCTATAATTTTGTGTTCTTCTGGTCTTAGAGATTTAATACCCACATAAAACAGAACTGGCATAAATGCAAGCTTTTGAGTTTTCCTAAATGCTGCCTCAAAAGATGTTTGCCAAGATTTACATTATTTTTGACCATTAACTTTTTCTGAGCCTGTTTAGTCTGTTAACTACATTGACAATCTAATACTTATATTGTTATTAGAAGAAAAATTTAGTATATCCAAAGTTATAGCTGTAATATGTTCTCAGAAGCAGACCCCTCTGATTGACCTTTTCATCCAACATCTCTGCTATGTTATCCCATGAAAGGCAAGATGTTTAGACCCAGGTGTAAATATTTAACTATGCTGTAAATTTCTTCTGAAACCATTGAATTTTGTTCTTGTCAAAGATTGGCAGGGTTAGTCTTGCCATATTATCTTTAATAAGTTTTTTAAGCTATCAAGTGTTGACTCTGTTAGATTTTGGATTTAAATGTTTATATCCTTTAAATATATTTTGCTAGAGAACCTCAGAAAATTGGAAGAGCACATCTCAAATAACTAAAGATAAACGTTCATGTTAAAAAGGTCATAAAAACCCAAACTGGAAAATACTAGTATAAGTCACCATTAAAAATAATCTATGCCATAATCCTTACCACTCAACTGGAAAACATATTCTGCACCAAAGTGTTTCCTCTTCACTGATTAAAAAAAGTATTAGAATTACTCTTATTTGACACAAGAGAGCAGGATAATACATAACGGCCTGCAATTTTATGTAAAGTGACTGTGTTAGCCAGGATGGCATAATCATGACATGATGTTCATGAAAAATGTGCTGGAAAAAAGCATCACTGCCAAATAGAGTTTGATTTTCCCATCCGGCAGCTGGAGTATCTGTGTCACTTCCATTATCTCCTTATTTACCTAACTTGTATTTTGGTTTTCTGGTCATAAGAATGTCTGTTTTTTCAAGTAAGTTGATGTCCTAGAAAGCCTATTCAGTGGTTGCCAGGCAAAGCCTGGCACTGGGGAGGTACAGAATCACTGCAGGGTCTGGCACTGGGGAGGTACAGAATCACTGCAGGGTCAATGTCATATGCTCACCATGCCTTTTCTGTGTGATTAGTGAATAAACAATGAAGTGACACTAATGCGTGTTTTGATATAGCAGAAAGGGCTGCATGTTTTCTACAAGTGCTTTCCCTGATGACATGGTGCACCACAGAAGCTGTACAAGAGGGTCCAGTGGGGTTTAAGAAAAAATGTTATACCTCTGATTCACAGATTTTATTATAAAATATAAAATAATGTTAAAACTTGATTTTTTTTCATTCTGGAAAGACACAGGTGATTTTAGTCGCCGAATGTGTCTCAGAGGACGTGGCTGGTCCCAAGTCTTCTGAGAGAAAGAGAGTGTGTTCTTTCACACAGACGCTTCTTCACTGGGTTGGTTGCTTTGGCATGTTGTAATGTATGTAAGCTTACAAGGGCCAGGTTAAGATTGGTATTACCCATTTTTAACTGACTTAACCCTTACCAAAATGCCAAGAGGCTTTAAAAGATTCCTTCAAAGAAGCTGCAGATTGAAGAAAATACTAACCCTGCAAAACCCAAATAAACAACAAGAAAAAATGACAGAGCTGCCCCTTCTCCTAATATAAACTAGCAGCTTTTTAAAAAATAGTGGATCTCTCTGGCTCTGAGAAGTCAAAAAGCACCAGATTTTAAAGAAGACTGTTTGAAGTCTTATTTAATAACTGTTGATGTATTTTTCTTTGAAATATTAGCCAATGATGAGGTCATCCCAATTAGCAAGCATTTAAAAATACTTCCCAGTACCTGAAGACAATTTCAGAAAGTTTTCCCTTACCATCTTTATTTTATGTTTGTTTAAATTTTTACTTATTGATTTTAGAGAGGAGAGGAGAGAGAGAAACATTGATTTGTTGTTCCACGTAGTTATGCATTCATTGGTTGATTCTTGTAGTTGCCCTGACTGGAGATTGAACCCACAACCTTGGCATATCGGGATGATGCTCTACCAAACTGAGCTACCTGGTCAGGAGATTTTTTTCTTTTTATGTTTAAAGTCATTTTTGGTCCTGGCTGGTGTGGCTCAGTGGATTGAGTACCAGACTACAAACTGAAGGGTCACTGGTTCGATTCCCAGTCAGCACATGTGCCTAGGTTGCTGGCCAGGTCCCCAGTAGGGGGTGCTTGAGGAGCAACCACACATTAATGTTTCCCTCTCTTTTCCTTCCCCTCTCTCAAAATAAATAAATACTTTTAAAAAATAAATAAAGGCAAACTTAAAACTTCCATTAAACTAAAAAGTCCTGCTAGCATAAGTATACCATTTACTTTCCCAATTGGCCGATAGCTTTCACTTGTCATAGGATCTGAAATTTAGAAGAGATTACATTAAATAGTATATTACAGTGGCCATAAAGTTTAATAGACATGCTTCTCAATTTATTCCACAGAATGCTTCCATTCTAGGCTTAAGATAGTGCTTAAGTTATTAAAGTTTTTTCCACCATGACATGGAAATTTCAGGTCCACACTGGGGAGTAAAACACACAGGAAGCAAATAGCCATCATAAGCACGATCATTTTACAAATGCTCAGGCTCTCCATGGGGACTAAAGGAGACTTCGTATAGAACAGCCAGAACTTGAGTCCATGATGTACAAGATTTCCATTGCTGCTTTTCCCAACAAAGCTGTTAGATAAGGAAAGGTGCATCATGTACCAGTCTGTTTAAAACTTTTTTAAGTAGACTTTTTAAATCTGGTATTCTGATTAGTTTATATAAAAGAGCTTCAGAATATTCATTTTGCAATAAAATTTCATCTCATATGTTAGTATTAATATGCCCAACAGAGTCAGACTAAAGTGATCTAGCTGAAAAACAAATGCCAAGCATCCCCTCCAAGTGGAAAATAGATATATTGGTCCAATTTAAGAGAAATTTTAAAATTTACAGAATTATAAGGTTCTTTGCATTAATTTAAGTTTTATTTTCTCCATTTGATGGACCTTTGATGATCTTAAAGGAAGTTGTCAGTTGCTAGATTAACTGTAAACTGCAACAAATAACTTTTATTTCAAAAACAAGTATCTAGAGCA